GCCGGTAGTTACACCTACTCAACCTCAACCTTCTAAGAGATGATGTGAACAAATTGTCATTCCATTGTTCTTCATTTGAAAAAGCATTGTAAGCACCGAAAGTTCAGTAAATGTTTATACAACCAGTACTCTAAATTCAGTAATTTAAGAAAAAATGATACTTCTTCACAGAGGATTGCATGAGCATTTAATAGAGATTGTTTTTTCCATGGTATTTGTACCAAGCTGCTATTTGGAAAATTATCTGTAGTTACAAGGATACAAAGATCACCAAAAGGTAATCAGAATAATCCTAATTTTCATTGCTGTTTGATCTCTGGATAAACATTTGTCCATCTAGTGACATTTCTTTTCTGGATTCCTAAATTACTCCAGATATATATTTGCTGCAACATACTAGATTTAATGATAATATGCTTAGAGTGCTCAGTCATTTATCTTGGAATTAACTCTGTTATACTTGCTTCTGTGACACTGATAGTAAGTTACAGCACGGTTTCATTTGATTCAGCCACTTATTTATTAAGTCTGAATATAACGGCAGTGCTATAGCACAAAAGGTATGCTGTTATTGTTAGTACTATCATCACTTATTACAAAAGCCCTTCACCTTTCTATTTTCCATATTGCAATGGGCAATTTAATCTAGACTAAGAAAAAAGATGCTATCTGTAATGCAGAGAAGATGGAGTATTTCTCTAGCCTTTTAACCCAAGAATTGTCAGCTTCTATCAGCAGTAGCAGGGCCTGACACTTAGGGTAGCTTGAACTTGTTTTGCATACTGTGAATTCTTACAACAGCAGCATGAATTGTGACAGGGGCTAATTAGCACTTCTACCCCCTCTGTTCAACTCTTTTATTTTTGATGACAAGTGCCAGAAGCAGTAAAGGAAGTTTAACTAAACCCAGATTAAGAAATTAGGCTCCAACCTTCCAAGTTGAGAAAGACATCTCTACATTTGTGTCAGGTACTTCCAAGTATGTGTATATGTGAAAGTGATATACATCTTTATTCCTATGCTTTGAATACAAAACTGTTTGTGCCTCTTTTACATTTTAGAATAATACATGCAGTGACTTCCAGCTTCCCCATCAAGGTATCAGGATCCTAGTTAAACTAGTGACACTTTCTGGTTGCTTCAGTTGAGATTATTTTCTAGTTTTATGTCCGTGAGTTACAAGCTGGTATTTCCGGAAAATGGAAATTGGACATGACACTTAATTAAACTCCACCCAATGTTACCAGCTCCTTTGACCTTTGTTACATGCTCTGTAAGCTTTTCTGAAATCAGGTAAAATCCCATGGGCCAGCGATACATACATCCACTGGAATCTAGAAGACTCCAATAAGAAACAAACACACAAATTATCTTTAGGTTATAATTATCTCTACTAATTATTTATCATGTAGTAGTACGTAAGAGTCTCACTCTAAATCTTTGCCTGCTACATGCTATTCTACTTGCAAGTAATTCAAAGTCTGTAACAACTTGTAGAATCACACAGAGATGATCACACATAAACTAAGCCAAACTAAGAAGTGAACTCTTTTTAGCCCATCCAGTGTCCTTATCGCTAAATATGCTGTCTGATCTATTTGTCTATTGTGTTTACAGACATGATGTAATCCCAGTACAAGGTAAGAAGAGCATAACTTGCTGTCTATATGGGAAACACCCTGCCATGTACCATTGGCTTCTCTGTCTGAAACATGACATTTCTCTTAAAATAGCTATTGTATATTTTTCCTATATTCATATTCATTTGTTGTATATATGTTGAATACTATATTCATTTGATGTATTTAGATCAAACCCACCTGCAACACAGGCTTTTTGTTCTGTGTTTGTGTTGCACATAAGACAGGTTGAGAACCTGATCTCCAAACAGGGGTCCTAGCACTAGTGCACCACAAATACCAACTGTCTAGAGGCAATGAAGAGCAAGGGTGCTAATGACAGTCTAGCAATAAAAATAAAATGAAAATATCTGCAAATGATGATAAACAGTTTAAAAAAATAAAAGAGGCAGTGTTCTTATTCATTACAGCACTTTGCATCTGCTTAACATTACGTGTATGAAGAGCCCCAAGATTTCAAGGATACTAGTCATATACTTAAAAATTAAGCTTCAAGTTATTGGCATACAACCTTAATGAGGATAATTTGGATAGTCTAATATGCACAATGAATTAATCACCTGGCAGACTAATTATGTCTTACTGAAATGTTGATCCCAACTATAATCATACCAAACATGCCAAACTGTTCAGAACAGAGGGAAACTGGAGAGTTCGCAGTGCAGTATGCAAACAGATTCAGTCACATACAAAGAATCAAAATTCCATGATTTCTACATACTTTGGGGAAAGGTTTTTTTGTGAAGCAGGCTCAAAGATGAAGGTTTCTACTTTAGGAGTAAGGGGAGAGTTTCTAAGCACAAAGTCTGAGAGAAATGAGTCAAACTCAGAATGGAAAAAAGTGATGTGAGCAGTAGACAACTTGTGTGGGACCCATCAAAAAGAAAATTAGTGCATTGTTAGCTTTAGATCTATATATCAGGCCAATGAATATTTTTTTCTGGTATGCTTCTCTGAGCATGGTGCTTTTTTTAGGAGAGATGTTAGGAAGATGATTCGATAGGTTCTTCTGGAGCTTGCACTTAAGGACCACCAAAACTATTTCCTTTACATCTCACTTTCAAAAGTCTAATTTATTGCTTTAGTTAGCATGTTCTATGTTCAAATGAGGGAGCCATTCAATACAGGATATTCTGGATATTCTGGATATTTCCAAGCATTTTTTGAAAACCTGAAAAACTAAAGTTGTGATCTGAAGTACCATAAATCGCTGCAGATGGAGCGAGTATGGGATCTTTTGTTGCCTCAACTTAAACTGTTTTTTTCATCATCAGTAATTCTGAGGAGTTTTCAGCCTTTTGTTCTCTTTCCGTTTTGCTTTTTGATGTTGGATTTTACAATTAATATAAGAAATGTGGAAAGCAGGCCTTCTGCTTTTGGCAAACAACATCACAAATACTGCTTTGGTTTCTACCTGGCTTGTTCTTTAATTACACAAAATTAAATAAAAGAACTTCCCCTCACTAAAGTGTGTTTGGGAAATGTTCAGACACTCTTTTAAAAGTGCAGAACTTCAGTGCCTTTAGGATATAACAATGCTTTATTTGGATTCAAGTGATTAAAGAGCTAATTTTCTTAGTGGGAGGTTAGTACATTTTTACAGAGAACCTTACAGGAATATGGATACATTTGCATTCCACAGGGGCCCAGGGAATTCCAAATTCCCATCTCTCTGCTTGTAGCAGCAAAGACCATTAAAAAAAAGTCAATGTTTCGTATCTTCTGAGTATGATGTCTCCTATAGAAGTAGCTGGAGACAGTCATGTTCAATTTTCCCTAGGGTACTAACTTTTTCTGAAGTTGTCTGTTTAGTCTTTTAGTTGTAAAGTCAGATAGATGATTTCCTCTGCGTTAATTTTCAAATGATGCTGTATATATGATGTTCAGATTTTCTTTCTAATCAACTTGGTAGATAATTTCTGAAAATATTGATTTCTTCCAAGTTAAAATTTGGAGTACAGGAAGTCCAGAGAGACCAGCGCATAAAATCTGCAATACTACATAGCTTTTGACTGTGCTGTTGAATTGTTCCCAGTGAAAAACAAGGCTTAACTCTGATACTTTCCATTCTAAGTATGTATCAGGATTGCAGCAGGTATTTGTAAGAAGTATTTTTCCTTTTTATTTATGCCCAATCTATTTGCCAAATTCAGTCTGACAATGCTATTCATTGTCCTAATGAATAAGTTGTCTGAAAGCTTTTTTCATAGTTTTATCTGGAATGGAAGTGTCAGACTTACAGGATGAAGGGTATGGTCTCCAGTTGATAGCCAGACAGGCATTTAACCGAAGAGTAATGGAAATAATCAACATGGACTTTGGCCTGGGTCCAGGAATTAGAATATTTAAGCTTGCAGGAATGTCATTGTCGATGACTATGTGCCATTGGCTACGGTTCATCTGAATGAAGACATTTCCAAAAAAATTGCTGCTTTGTGTTGGATTTCCCCAATACCAAGTTGAACTCAAATGAATGCTTGCTAAGTGAAATATGTGAAAAACTCACACAAGTATTTTACCCTTAATTCGTCATTCAAGCACTGACTGAAACCAATACAGCTTAGAATGTGTAGATAAGATCACTGCCCTAGCTGAAGTGAAGGATTTCCTGCCACCCTATGGAAAGCCTCATGCTGCTTCCCCGACTGTGGAAGCAATGCTGTGTGTTCTGCCTACTCCTTCATCTCTTTGGCAGGTGACTTCTTTGGGTTATGTGTAATACTGGCTCTGAATTATGGAAATGAATACATTCCCTTGCCATGCAGATGGCTCAAAAGTAAAAAGCTGGCAGACAATTCCCTCAACAATGGCTTCTTTTTATTTCTTCTCCATCTATGACTGAAGCACTTTCTTTTTCCTTGTTAATAATTCCTTTCATTCATTCTCAGGCGTTTGTGCATTTCTCAAAGCACTAGCATTGGAAATGACTTATGACGTGTAAATTTTACATGTCTATTTTTACGTTGCTTTTTCTTCAGCAATGAACACCTAGTTCTTCACTGTCCATCTGGCTGAGTGCTGGACAGGGCAAATCTTGGTTAATTATTGACTAGGCTTTAAAGAGTTAAGCAATGGTTCAAAATCCAGGCAAATCAATTGCTTCAACCTCAGACTGAACTCTGCTCTGGTTTCATAAGAATTCACATATGAAATAAGCTCCATTATCTGGGGAAGAGACCGGACAGTACTGTATATAGTGTAGCTTAAATGCTGAGGAGATCAGTGTTAGATCCTGATTTTAGCAACATAGCACAGTAATCTGTGTTCAGAAAAGTTGGTTTGTTGAAGTAAACCCCCCCCCCCCCCCTTTTTTTTTTTTTCCTACATTCCAGGATTGGAAAGAAAAAATAGAGGCTGGGATTAGAGCCAAACTGAAAACTGATGCAGTCTGTCAGCAAGCCCTCAGGTAACAGTATCATAATTTATAAAATTTACCAACAATAGGATAGTAATTAAAGATAGAAGTTTTCCTGTCCCTATTTTTGGCAAAAGAGATTTCAGAATGCTAAACTGTGCATGTGTGTCTCGTCAAGGATTTAAAACAAAATGAAAAAAAGAAAAAAAAAAGGTAAAAAAAAAAAAAAAGAAAAAATCACACTATCCATAGGAAAAGGGTTTCATTTTTGCTTGTGTTATTTCTTGCTCTTTGCATACTTTTGCATTAATAGGCTGGTGGCTTACTTACTACTTACAAGCTCAGGCTAGAGCTTTTTGCAATTATTTTTTAATTATTATTTAAAATGAGAAACAGCCTGGGTTAGACCATGAACATCTGGAAAATTTCTTGGAGCTTTTGGGTTTGCCCCAGTGCAAGTCCTTCTTATTTCTAGTGTTTGGTCCACTCATTCAAGTGACTTTGGATGTCTCAACTAAGAATGGGACTACATGTGGGAAAGAGAGGAATAGTTGGCTGTTTTGAAGGAACATTTTTCTCCAGATTACATCAACTGTAATTATTTCATATTGTAAGAATAGTGTAGGATCATGTTGAATAATACAGTGAGATTATTGTTGGCAAATGATGACATTTTAGTGGCAAACAAGGATGCAAATAACAATTATGGTACCACATTGTTTTTGTTGGCACTAATTAGAACACTTTCACTGCCTGTCTAATTCCTAATTTTATTTGGAAAGCCCTTGAATTATGGACATTATTTTTTGTAAGTTTTCTATAGTGCCCAGCACAAAATGGAACTCCGTTTATGATTGGGAAATAAGAGTGATGATATAATAATAATAATAACAGTAATAGTAAGAAATTGACAATATCAGTTTATACTTTGATCTTGTCAGTACTCATGAGTTAAGTGGTGTTGGATTAGTCCAATACCTAAGTGGCAGTCTGTCAGAGAACACTTCTGTTTAACAGATGGTTCTGAATAAGTGCACAAATTTGGTGTTAGGACCTTGCCTCGTACCAGGTTCCATCAGACATGAAATTGAGGTCTTGACCACTTGCATCCATAAAAATTAAATGTAATAAAAATTAAATATACTAACTATGAGGCCTAACTACAATACCAGCTATAGCCTACAAAAAGACTTCTTGACTGGTGGTCATTGAATCGAATCAACATTGACCAAGTCCGTCTTTAAGATTCTCTGCCAGATCTTCTTCTCTGCTGTCCCTGATTAAGATTTTCTTTTCATCTCATGTCTTACAGTGTTTGTCAGTGTTACCATGTACTATCCCGTAGATTCTGCATGTTACTGTTTAGAAAATAGGTAGTATTTTCTTCCTATGTACAAATTTGACAGTTAAGCTGAAAAACATAGTGTTCTTCTGGACTCTATACTTAGGAATTAGTTTTCTAGCTTTTCTCAGGGAATTGTAGATATGAAAGTATTTGAAAGGGATCTGAGAATGCAAAATACAAATCCTTCTAGGGGGGAAGCGACGTATTTGACTTTTACTTTTTCATTTTGTTTCTTGCATAACTGTCAAAAGTAATTTCAAAGACTTTGCCTGTTTTGCTCTTCTTATCTTGTACTGTATGTCTGATGAAGAAAGGATGAATGAGGTTGGAAAGGACGACAGTCTTTCCAAACGTATCTCCTTCTCTTAGGAAAATCTCCTTTCTTTCTCACACAAAGGAAGAAAATTTGGTTTTAAATTCAGTTTATTTTCTTCCATAAGTCTTGGCAAACTGTTCAGAAAACAATTTAGATCTGTGCAAATTTATATCCTGGTCATGGAGCCCAAGCTGAACCTAAATACATGAGTAAGGGCTGTTTAGATTGACTGCAGTACTTCATCAGTAGTTCTCTCCATATCTTAACCTGAACTATCACTGCTTAATACCCAATTGAGGAATAGCTGGGAGTGCTCACTGGTGCATACAGCCACTAGGATTGCTTCTATCATGCATATCCTGAAAAACATTTGTGCAAATCACCCACAGAGTAAACAGGTAAGTGTCAAAATACTTCTAATGTTTCCTTGTGTGTGTGACTGTCTTCTCTGATTTCATAGCGTGCAGGCAGTACCCTTCAGAACTCATATATATATCCTTTCCTGAGCTTAAAGAAGAAAATACTAATGATTATACTGGACAGTCCTTTCAGTTATTGGTGTTCTCATGGTATAAAAAGGCTTGTGATATTGCTTCAGAGCTTTCCTGATTTGTTAATATATGCCCAGCTGCTTAGCCTGTATATAACATAAAATGTTTGAATTTATGAAAAACTAACAATAAGAATGTGGATTGTTTACTGAAATAAAACCCTAAACAAGTAGCATTATTGACTGTAATTATTTAAAGCTCAGAAAGTTTCTGAGAAAAGAATGAAATTGAAAATACTAGATGAATTCATGAGGGCTTCCATCACCATGAATACCACCATGACCTCATTGACCTTCTCTCCAAACAGTGCTACTTAGTCACTTCGGGATTCAGTTCACAATCACTCTCCTGGCCTTTAATGGAACTGAGTGACTTTGGGGTATAAGCAGGGCATGATTATAATACCATAATGAACTACCTCCTGCATGTGTATCCCCTACCTTATACTACAGGGAATTAGAATGACCCCAGCTATATGTCATAGGCAGCTAGCAATGAGCAGCAAGTATAAAAGATGAGCTTAGGCTTAATGTGGGAGTATGTAGTGAACTGGGGGCTGGATCCATAAAAGGATTTAGGTCATGAAACATTATTTTTAGGAGCCTAGCAGTTTAGAGAAATTCGCAGCCCCAGAGTGATATGTCACAAGCAGCACATAAAACACAAGGAGTGAGGAACCTAGAAACTGGACCCTCAGAAACCATCAAGCTTTAGCATTGCATAATTCACTCATCAGGCAAGGAGAAGTGCCAGACTAAATTCTGCTCTGAGGTACTGGGGGCTCTCAACGTTTCTATCCACAGTGAGACTTGACACATAACACTGGATCAGATCACCTCTGTAAGGAATTTCATGCATAGAAACAAATGTATCCTGCAAACTAAGCACTTGCAATCAGATCATTCTTCTGAGATTCACTGAACAGTGTTCAAATCTTTATCTTCTTTGATCTGGAGCAAAGACTCAAACTTTTTCAAACTTCTAATGTAAGAGCAATGCCCAAACCATTTGGTTAGCTGGTATTCTGGATAGAGTTCTCAATTGCTCCTGGTGAAAAAGTTAAACACTGTGTATGTAATTAAAGATTCAGGATTTGGCAGTGGATGAGTGGGAGGTTAAGGATATCAGAAGTGCTTAAAAATTGGATTGGCTTGTCCAAGATCTCTCTGTGGACCTAAATCTGGAGCCTGTACAACATTTGGAGCCTGTGACTATCTGGATTCATATTCTGTGGTGGCTGTCAATGAAGATCTCTGAGCTATACAGTGTAGCACTGAAATCTTAGGTGACCATTGGCTTAACGTAGCATACTTACCTAACTGATACTAGCAAAACCTCACTCTTGGTATGGTACAGTGAGTGTCAGTAATTTAACGCTAGAGCTCAGTAAACTGCAGAATAGGAACAAAATAATATGAAAATTTCAAAAAATAATGAAATAATGCTGGTTTCCTCTTACTGGTATATTTCTGGTTTTTATTTATATTAAGTCACCTTCTTTGTTAAGTTCCTAGATATAGAAGGAGAAAAATTTTGTAGCAATGCTATTGGTTGAAGCATACATTTGTAAGAGACTCTATCTCCAAAGGTCAGATCCTTGTGGAAGTAAAGTCAAATTGCTGTGTTTTAAGTGGAGGTTAGTTAGCTTATGAAAACAGGAATGTTTGCAGGACACCTAGTCCTGCCCAGTTTTTTGCTTTAAGGCACCCATTCCTAGAAATTTGTTGTTTCATTTGTTGTCAGATCTAACCATCCCAATATATAAGGTTATGAAAGGATTTGCTTAAGGCATTTTTATTTTTATACAGGCAAGCACTTGGGAGAAGAGGGATGCAGTAAGGGAGAACAAAACAATCTTGGATGAGAAATGTGAAAATGCATAACTCTCAAATGCTTGTGCTTTGGGAAACAGTACTATTTCTGTTTAAGAATGAATGAAAGAGACAGGTGATCTATAGCGTATTGCTTAGAATGAATTAGAACAAGAAGAAAAGTGTAGGTAAGGGATTTAACAAATAAATTTTAGATAAATCTAACAACAGTGGACTGGACAGACTATAAAGGAAGGTGGCATATGTCCTTCTTTTCTAATAAGGAATAAAAGACAAATTGAAGATAAGGCAAAGCAAATGTAACTGTTGAAGAAAAGTTTCTAGGAAGGTTTCTATCTGAAACACTGGGCAAACAAAATTTGAATCTGAATCTCACAAAGTGAATGCAAAGGAGAATAAAGCAAGGTCAATGTATTTTTCCAGCTTTCATTTCAGCTATCTGGCCAGGCAGTGATATGTTAAAACCTTTATTTTCATGTGGTGTTAAGCGAATGTACAGCTAGAGATGCACTAAAATGATGATATTAAAGTAAAAAAATATTGCTTGGGAGCATGCCTCTGTACTTCATCATCCCCCCAGCGTAGTTAGAACTTCTGGACAACAAAGCCAATCTATAGTTATTATATCTCTTTGTCTCTTTTCATATCTCCTAATAGAAGCACTCTTGTAGCTGCTGGCTAGAAAATTAAACAAGTGAACTCTCTCTGTCTGTCTCTCTTTCTGCTCATCAGATTACTGGGAAAATTTAACATTCTCTCGCTCTCTCTTTTAATTCTTTGCAGGCTGGTAGCACACTGGAGGGGCTTAGACTGAACCAGTTTAACTCTTGCATATCTCATGTAGTCTTTACTGCTGTTGGTGGACACATCCTTATTCTCAACCTGCAGAGGGAAAGATGGGTAGAGCGTGTAGTTATTTCCAGATGTTGATCTGGGAATGTGGTTCATTATGAGAGAAGTAATATCTAAACCAGCAAAGCAGAGATGAAAACAGAAGATACAATGATGATCTATGGCATTTTATTGAGGAGACTTCATTTCAGGAGCCTGGGCTATAGTATTGTCATTTAGGTGCACATTCTGGTCAGAACAAAGACAATGATCTTGCATATCTTGATCTTTCCAAGCTTGAACTGAAATCACTGTATGTTTTGGATGACTGTACATTCTGTTGGCATCAAAATAGGTGTAAAAACTAGGGAGCATCCTTCATCTTCTTTGGAATATAAACATAAATTGGGAGATGTAAATTCTTTCACCTGTTAAGTTATTCTATGAAAGTCTGTCGAGCATTCTCTGCTTTATAGAAATGAAAAGTGGTTGGAAGGAAGAACAAAGGAAAACATTCAGGAATTAAATATATTTTGACTGACATAGTCAGTCAAAATAAAAGGTCCTTTTGAGAAATGAGAAGGTTATAGAGGAGTTGGAAAGCATAATAATTTAATGGCAAGAAGGAAAAATGTGAAAAGTCCTAATGACTTCAGAAATTATGCTGGGCCTTGGCATTCATATTTAAGATGAAGACTCTTCTAAAGCTGCTAATAGAAATTTTAACTTAATGTGGAATTTTCCTTTCAAAACTGTATCTAACATTTACTATCAGCAGAAGTTTGCAAATTATACTCTTAGAAATGTATGTACCACATCACAGAAGGGATACCTGCACTTCTAAAGATGTGAGAAGGGGATAATCAATAAAAATGACATTCCTGTAAATTTCCTGGTCTGACTGTGCACTTACTCCATACTTCTGGTCAACAAAGTTACAGTTAAGTAAACGAACATCCTGACTGAGCTGAGGGGTCCACAGATCTGTTTTGTCTAGTCCACTGATTTTCACTGGTTTCTCACTGGCTGGAGTGAGGAAAAATATCTGTTCCTGGCAGTCTGTGAAACCCAACAGCTGCCAAATGCTTGCTGGGACATCCACATACATGCAACAACATAGCCATACACTCATCCGGAAGGATAGGACCGCTACTGCTTACGGTGGTCATCTACAAACAAAGGAGACCATCACCTCTAAACATGGTCCTCTATGACTTCTAGCCCAAAGCATTAGGGAAGTATACTAAGAAAAAGCATGGGAGCAGGCAGTTTCTCAAGCACTCTATCATTCCATACTGAAGAAGACCTTGATGAACTTTTTTTTTGGTAAAACTGAAATTTTTTTGAAACTACTCAGAGTTGAGGAGTTGACCTCAAAACATTTATATACAAATTACTGCGATTGTTTTCAAAATGTCCAGTATACAAAATGTCCAGTAGTGGAACACTGTATGGCATAATGACAAAAGAATGGTTAGAAATAATGAAATTGAATGGGTGGAGAAGCAAGAAGTCTTTGCTCACTGCATTCACTGGCTTAATATTTGAGGTTTCACAAGACAAACACACTTTACTAAAAGGTGGGACTGATAATTATATCTCAAAAGTGAGGTGTTTAGAGAATTATTTAATTAGTGTTACTAAAAGATTTCAAAATCCATAACTAGATAGTATTCTAAAAGTATTTCCTTCAATAAAGACTGCTCACCAGCTGAGAATATGCATTTGGGATTCTGCATTTTCAGTGTTTCACAAAGCAGAAGGTATATGAAAAGGAAAAAGAAAAAAATCTTTTTAAAAAATATAGTTGCTTTTTATAGATTACACTAGGACTCTGACCCTGTAGATCTACTATACCACTGAGAAATCATTGCAGAAGTTGTAATGCTTTAAAGCAAGGAGAAAGCTTAGTGTTTAAACACTTAAATACGAACAGAGAAAATGAAATTTATTCCTTCTATGAATCACAGAATCAGAATCACCCGGGTTGGAAGGGACCTCAAGGATCATGTAGTTCCAACCCCCCTGCCTAGCAGGGCCACCAAACACACACATTCAGGTCAGGTTGCCCAGGACCCTGTCCAACCTGGCCTTAAACACATCCAAGGACGGGGCATCCACAACCTCCCTGGGCAGCCCGTTCCAGGGCCTAACCACTCTCCTTGTATAGAACTTCCCCCTAAC